AAACAGTGTGTGAATTGTGAAAACTTGAAGTTGATATAATTCAAGTTTTGGAGAGAAATCCTGAGTCTTGTGAAATCAAGACTACGGTGGAAAGGTTAGAGGCTTGCGAATTCAAGTTCTCGAGTTGTAATCGGATTGTCAAACTCCGTTAAGTTTGACGAAGTTAGTGGAATCTCGGGCACGTTTGCTTCGGGGACTGGATGTAGGCATTAGGCCGAACCAGGATACATCGTGTGTTGCTCCTTCACTTCATCTTTGTGTTCTTGTGGTTGATATACTCCTGCGAATTTTTGTTCTTCCAAAAGTTCTTGATTTTTGAAGAACACCTCTATTCACCTCCCCCTCTAGAGATGCGTAAGTTGTTCAACAAGATAGATCCAGAACCTCATGATCATGCTTTGATGGCTTGTCAACCACATGTTTCTCATCAAAAATAACATCTATTGACTCTTCAGTGATCATGGTTCTTTTGTTGAAAACTCTGAATGCCTTGCTCACCATAGAATATCCAAGGAAGATGGCTTCATCTGATTTCTCATCAAAAGTGTTCAGATGATTCTTCCCGTTGTTTAACACAAAGCACTTGCTCCCAAAAATATGGAAATATGATATATTAGGCTTTCTCCCGTTCCATAGTTCATAGGGAGTTTTGTTGTGTCTTTTATAAATCATACTCCTATTTTGAGTATAGCAAGCCGTGTTAACAGCTTCAGCCCAAAACCTCTTTGGTAAGGAAGCTTCTGCTAGCATTGTTCTCACTGCTTCCTTTAGGGTTCTGTTCCTTCTTTCCGCTACACCATTCTGTTGAGGCGTCCTTGCTGCGGATGTCTGATGAAGAATTCCGTTTTCTTCACAATAATGAATGATGATTTCATTTAGGAATTCTTTGCCTTTGTCAGATCTGATCTTCTGAATGGTCTGACTTGCTTGGTTTTGAATCAGCTTCATGCAGTTGGTGAGTTTCCCTTGAGTCTCCTTCTTTCTATTGAGGAAGATTGTCCACGTGTATCTTGAGTAATCATCAACTACCACCAGGACATATTTCTTTCCACTTAGACTAATTGGTGTAACAGGGCCAAATAAGTCCGTGTGGATAAGACTTAATATCCTTGTAGTTGAGGGTGCCGGTTTTGCCTTGAAAGTAGATTTGACTTGCTTTCCTTTCTGGCACGCATCACAAATGCTTTCCTTCCTGAATACAGCTTTGGGAAGGCCTTCTACTAACCCTTCTTTGGATAGCTTGTTGAGAGTTTTGAAGTTGAGATGACTCAACCTCTTATGCCAAAGCCATAGAAGGTTAGTGTCACCTTTGCTGATTAGACATGCTTCCTTGACATTGCTCCATATCACTTCATAGATGTTTCTGATTCTCTTCCCAGTGAGAATGACTTCATTTGTGGAGATGTTCTTGAGAGATGCCATGTCCTTGCAGAATTCCAAGGAGTAACCTTTATCACAAAACTGACT